ACCAATTCTAGGTTAGTAACTTTTTTTATTACAGTAGAATGGTGTCAGGGTCGTGGCTTTAACACCTTTTAGTGTTAAAGTCAGGTAACCTTACTGTAACACCTGTGTGGTCACTACTTAAGGTAGCACGCATTCTCTATGTACTACTACCTTAAGAAAACTGAGGACCCATATTAGACATAAGGAAAACTAAAAGTATCTTAATATAATTTGCGTACCAGAACGTATTTCGGGATATATTTTGTAATGGACTTGTTTGCACTTCTTTCTGACATATAATTACTTGCGGAAGATTAGCGTAAAAATGAGTTATAGCTGTCTATTATTTTGTTCAGTCATTACACATTATATACCGTCCATTACACACCAATAACTTAACCTATAGTCAAAGCGGGTATTGTGTTACATATCCTGTCTTCTATGCAACATTGTTGTTAAAAAAACAAGCTATATCCACATATGTGTATAAAGGAGTATTAGTAGCAACATTGCAAAATGTCTACTACTATGCATCACTTGTGCCGTCATTGGGTGTAAAAAAAAGTTATGTTAAAAGTAGTCAACTGGGATTTGAGGCTTTTATCATACACGTGTGGATGGTTTTATAAAGATCTGCCTCATTCGTCTGTGTATACACATGGTTTCCTAAGTGGGAAGAGATAGTATGAAGAGCCAGGGGGTAGTGAGGGTTGAAGCATACCACCCTGTATACTCAGTGGGGACTCTGATCGCATCCTCAGATAGAAGGTAGCACCAGATTAATGACCGGTACATTCGGAGCGGTTATCGCGGGTTTTTATCTGTGAGAAGTCACGGGAAAAACACAGTCTTCCGTCACACGGATGGTCAGGCTCCTAGCCGCAGGTGCAAAAGATGGATCCAAGAGATAACAGAGGACCGCATTAATGGATCAAAGAGTTGGCAGTATCAAGATGTGAAGGACGATATGTCAGGAGTCGTTTACATCTTATCAAGGAGACGGCAAGACGTCTTGGTGTTTTGTATACACAGAGGTGAAAGGGGACCGTTTGTTTCAGCCCTCAAACCAGGTGTTCGATCTTAAACTTGGACTTTTCCTGTCAGTTTCACTGCAAGAGGAACACAAAAGATCAGAGATCGCAAAACACAAACAAATCCACCCTCTGTATATCCAACCGTTGCTTTTGACATCTTCTTTTTCTTTCGTAAAGACAAGAGGCTTTAATATTTCAGGAAACAATGTCAGGATATACACACATCCTGTTGGTAGATAAGATAGTTGTGGTGCAACATTCCACGCAGGTTTTACCACAAGAAAACGGATGTGTCATAACAATAGGCATTCACCTCAACAAGGTAAACCTTATGAACCTCAACAATAGTCTAAGGTGAGGCATGTAATTTCTTCTCTTCTTCAGTCATGTATTTCTCAGCATGTTATACTTCTTGTCGACGTGAATTTTATCGGTGAAGCAGTGGAAAGAGTTTCTTCCGTGCGTTTAGCGTGAATCTGATAAGGTGTTCTCCCGAGAACAGAAATCTCACTAGGGGCTGCGTTTAAGGAGAGATACCTGCCGTTTTACAACCCCGATCATTGGCCTATGTACAGATGGTCATCTCGTGTTCTACTTTATAGATCAAAAGGCTCCTATCTCTCTACACAATTTTCTGACCGAAACAGCTTTAATGGGATACGGTAGTAGTTCGCTGCAGGCAAGGTAAGACCGCCGAGCAAAAAACAAGTGCCACACTCTTTTTGTGTAGTTTTTTTGCAGGCCAAAATATAAAATGAAAGGAGATATGAATGAATCAAACAAGGAAGAAATGGCTGAAAGAATTAATGATTTATTCAGAAAAAAGAGAGGAAAGAAAAAGAATGAATGAATGAATAATAGCATTAATAATGTTTAAGTCCTCTTCATAAATATTTAAAAATTTCATCGCAGCTTAATATCTAAATCAAAATTACAAATGGATAATGAATGGGTAAAAACCTTAATATTTAGATGCACATTAAGTATTTCTTTGCAAACATTATACAGATGTGCACGATTTACAATGTCTAACTTCTTCATCAACATAAAGGAACAAGACCAGTCTTCTTTGTTGAAATTTTCTGAAGGCTTGTGTCGAGTTCGTACTTTTTTTTACTTATTTAAGTACATAATGACAACTTGTGCGATCTCGCAAACATATCCAATTAAACAATCCTAGCTCATAAACATTGCGATATTATAGGAATCTACGCACAGCAGAAAATACTTCATTCAGTATTTCCCAAACAAGTACACATAGGTCTAACCGTCAAGCACAAAAACTTATGGACAGTGTGACAAACGTGTAACCCTAGATAAAGATGCGAGAGAGAAATTAGTTCCTTCCTCCTTCTAGAACCATAAAACGGCAATACAATACACATTAAGATTGCTATCTTTAGATGTACCCGTCTTTTTTTCTCTTATCTTTTAATAAGGTTTACATCTGAACTGCGCTCGTAGGATTTTCAGTGTTTTTATTTTCGTACTCGGAGGTGGATATGACAAAAAAAATTCACGTTGTTTCTCTCTCATATTTAGATTCAAATTTTGTATCTTTGTTTCTTTCATATCATACTATTTTTCATCCAACTGTCTTTTCTTTTTTTTTTGTATCTGGTCGTCTTAATCTATGTTCAACCAACATCTTGTCTACGCCTTTTTTGATATTGGAACTTCTAACTCAAAGATGAAATCTGTTAGTATTTCAAACGGTAGGAAAACGTTTACTGCAAATCAATGGATGGTTGTGTGGAAGCTGTGGATATGATTTTACGACACTTTTCACCGCCTTTGCGGCAGCCACCTGCGGACTATCACCTGTAGAGAGAGACAGTACATTCAACAGGCATGAAATATTATACTTGCGTGTCTAAAGAGCCCTTTATACCGAGACATTACGTAAATTGGTATTCATATCTAATATCCTTAGCCAGGGTCAGTTATTTCCCGGAGGACTTGCCCTCCCTTCCTAGTCCCTCCCTCCCTATTCCCGCGGGAGTACGTTTTTACCTCATGAACTATCGCGTGAACTCAATTTCACCCTTGGCTTGTAAACGTGTTTAAGGACGTGGGTTAGGGTCGTAGGAGACATGTATGTTTCGCTTTTATTGTGCTTTAAATTTCAAACTCTGGGCGAACCCAGGAGGCTCAGGCGTCGGCCATTCCGCCGCTCGTTTTCCACCTACGGACGGTGGTACTTTGGCTCCTTTTAAGACTTTTTCCCCCTGTTCTTGATTTCTTAATGCTACGTCTTGGTTTATAACTTGTAGGCGTGACTGCCATCGTCCTTGGTGATGTACTTTCTAGACGTCAAAGAAACTATTCTGTGTGAGGAAATAGCAAATCATAGGCAGAGATGAGTGGGACTCTACTGTACTCTACTCTACTCTACTCTACTCTACTCTACTCTACTCTACTCTACTTTACTCTACTCTACTCTACTCTACTCTACTCTAGTCTACTCTACTTTACTCTACTCTACTCTACTCTACTCTACTCTACTCTAAAAGCATGAACTCTACTCTAAAAGCATGAACTCTATTCTATTCTATACTATTCTACTCTAGAGTAGAGCAGAGCAAAGCAGAGTAGAGTAGTGTAGAGTAGAGTAGTGTAGAGTAGAGTAGAGTAGAGTAGAGTAGAGTAGAGTAGAGTAGAGTAGTGTAGAGTAGAGTAGAGTAGAGTAGAGTAGAGTAGAGCAGAGTAGAGCAGAGCAGAGCAGAGCAGAGCAGAGCAGAGCAGAGTAGAGCAGAGCAGAGCAGAGCAGAGCAGAGCAGAGCAGAGTAGAGTAGAGTAGATCAGACTAGACTTAACACTATCACATTAGGAGAAACTCCCGTTACGTTCCATTGAGTATTAAAAGCCGGACGTCGGAATCTGGACAGACCGCCACATCCACAAACGTCTAACCGTTGAATGACAAAGTGTTCCTAAGCTATGTTGGCCGGTCTACAATGGTTTTTCAGGCGATGGTAGATTTAGTGGTGGGGCCAAGTACAAGAGCCAATGTCTTTTTACTACGTCACGTGGGATGCACAGTTGTACGAAATGAACAAATGTGTTGCCCTCTGACCTTTCGCTGTTGTGCTCTAAAATGCGTCCCGGGGGACTACACCGGGACCCAACGTGCTTACACTTTCACGGTGTATAACGTACGCTTTTCTACGCTGAAATAAAGAAAACTAATGTCCCTAACGCTTACCTATGGGAATATTTAGGATGTTAAATGGCTTTTTATGTGTCGCGAACAATGCACGCAATGAATTAAACCCGCAATAAAAGCTATTACATCGACTAATTGGTCCACAAATAAAGAAAAGGGCTTAGCAAGTGCAGTTCGCATACATCGCTGTACATTCCGAAATGACATTTTGCGATCGATGACTGTAAGGATTAAAGTAGAGAAAAAAAGGTGAACAATGCGTTCTTGTGTTTAAAATGCGTCTGGAAATCTTCACGGATAGGCGACAGTGTCAATGGTTCGCATTTGACATTTTTCAGAGACAACGCTCTGTAGTATCAGCCGCGTGGTTTCTTTTGTCGGAGAAAAGAACAAAAGGTTCGGAGTCGTTCCTTGCTTTTGTGTGACGAGTTGACGTAGCTTCGGGAGTAGCATTGACCTTAGAATCACCCCCCGAACGCAGCGCGGTTGGCGAAACACAAACTTTGGCTTAGAATACCACTCTTCGCCGCACGTGGCAGGTTTTAACGCACTCCCCATAAAAACTGTATCAAGTTCGTGTGTGCCTAGCAAGCCTACCAGCTCTCAGCCAATAGAATCGTAGGGTGGGAAATCCCAAAGATGAGATTTTTTTTAAGAATCATTTTCGGAGTATACGCTGAAAAGATGGCAAATGTCGAGTATATCGGAATGTGTGATCGACAGGGGAGTGTTTATTGGCTGGGTGCGGTCACGTGGTGTTAAGAGTGTAGGGCAGAAAGGAGCAGGTAGACTTGACGGTAGTTAGAATAAAATATGCTACGGAGAAAGTCGCGGGACAGCGGCCGAGGAGAGGAAAATTATGAGCCCAAGCCATGACAAGCTCCTCACCTATTGCTGGAGGTTTCCTTCTGGACGCCTACATTAGCGGCGGCAGCGCGAACTTGTACGGGCGACCCGGGTTGTGTATGACCGGTAACGGCGCTTTGGACAGTGCACACTGGCAGCCGTGTGCTCGCATCCCCCCGACTTCGGACGCACACAACGCGCGAGCCCTCTCCTCGTCCTTGTCCCCTCACGACGCGCCTTGGCCAGGGATCACTGGCGGTTACTACGGTACACAAGCCGTGGACTATACACCCTCGATTGACCACTATTCCCTGTCCTCCGGCATCAAGAGAGAGAGCCACTTTCGTGCCAAGAGTGCCAGCGAACGCTTCGGGTGCGGTCAAGACAGTATGATGGCACAGTTCTTTCCTATGGAGAGGAAGCTACCACATCCAGACTACAACTACCTAAGATATCAGTACAGCAGCAATGGTAAAGACTATCACAAGCTCTCCAACTCCACGCACGGAGGGGGGCCAACGGCGCCGTCAGGTGGCCTATTCGCCGCGACAGACAAGCACGCCGGCGGGCTTGGACAGTGGAGTGCCCCGCCAGGTCCCACAACAGGACCCGTGAGTAACAACAACTTCACCGGGGCCGACTCCCACCCAAACACCGCCTGTTCCACGCCCCCAGCCTCGATACCCAGCAGCACCAACGGAGCCAGCCCTCTGCAAGGTACTCCCTCCTACTTTATTATCCTTATCTCAGAAAGTCAATAACGTTCTATCAGGACTAGTATATACGTAAACGTTAGATTCCGATCGTCTTACACTACATCGACTTACACGGGTGTACAATTTGGCATATTCCGTATGAAAAATGTCTTTCTGTTGTAATGGGCATCTCTAGGGGGTTGCCACGATAAACGTTTCCTGAAAGGGTAGGTCGTTTTCATCAGAGAACCCCCTTCGTGGTCACCTCCGACAATACAGAGGTTGTAGTAAATTATACCTACAGGGAATCGATCTTTTCCTCGTGTAAAACACCACGACTTGTGTCAAACTGATTTGCTCTGCCCAAGAATCATAGCCTGCACCGATCCAAGGGAAACATCCTCGTGCTTACAAACACTTTTCTCTCTAAAAAGACCACAAAATATCTACAAAATACACGAGGTAGGTTTTTTTAGCATCTTAGATACTCCAGAAAGACTGGACCACATGTGAGACACTTATTGAAGTAAGATACTACGACAGATTCTGACTTGTCATATCTATGTAAGAACCTCAAGTAAAGTCATCCTGAGCAAAAAAAATTCCTAGCTGATAGAAATATGTTTTGATTTATACCGATTTGAGTAGTTTGTATATAGTTTTTTCTAAAGATACTATTTTATGACTATATTTCATTGGCTTAGCTGACCAGTGCAAAGTTTGACCACATATCATAACGAGGGTGTCACTGCCAGTGGTCAGAACTGACCGTAACGTTGGACAGATTCTGGGGGGTCATTCTGGTCAAGAAGAAGCATGTGTCTCTTCCAATCCAGCTCAGTTAAGGAACTGAGAAGACTTCAAGCTCCATCAGTATACACCTGTGTGTTTAAGAATGTAAAAAAATTCCAAAACTTCCACTTGCCAACAGACATCCTATAGATACAGCCAACTGTCACCTAAAACGTGGCTGTGCGCTATCACATACATGTAGCTACTTGACAACTATCGAATCCCAACAGCGAAAAAAAAAGGGTACACCACCAAAGTAGTAAAAATCCATTCGCCTTGCCATTTCTAGACTTTAAAAAGCATTTGCAGGTCGTCTTACCTTCAAATTAACTGTAGTTATTGGTGTGTAACATAACAACATTTAGGAGAGAACATCTAGATAGGTAGAGATGGCATCCAAATGTAGTACGGGTTTAATATACCCGTTTTGGGGCTGTGTAGAGGACTCATGGCTCCCACGCGGCTACCAAAAGTTCAGGCTCCAAATTTCATTACACCTCCATAGCGGAGACAATCGCACATAACCCGTGCACTTTGCTCTTCGAGGGGGAGATCTTTTAATTCAATGTCCCCCTTGTTCCTCATTCGCCAGCAAATCTATCAAGATCAGGCGACATTTGGACCAGTCTACCCTCTCCATTCCGGCGCTAAATTACGAACAAAGATGAGCCGAGATTTCCTAGGAGATTTTCTTTGAATCAGACCCGATTTTATCCGTTGTGCCCCCGACCACTGCGCGGCCACGCTACGGTAAAAAGCGTCCACCGTAGGAAAATTAAATCTGTAACCCGTGTACACATTGGTAAGCAATCATGGCTGTCGTAGACGTATCACTGTCGGTGGTCCCCAAAACAATACCCCTATCTGTATCCTAGATGGCCTTAATTTCTCGTACAACCGACCATAAAATGATCTGAAGACTCCTACACATGTCCGCGTATCATTGTGGTTGGTGGTGTAGTCATTAACTCTCGACCCTGTAAAGGTAGCATTTTTACAACCAGCCTCTAGGAGGCGCTGTTGGTACATGTGGGATTCCGAGCTTTACAATTTACAACCTTTGGGGTCGCCCATCGCGAGTTACAATACTGTTAATGATTCTTACAGAATAAGCCTCTTCGCAAGGCTTCTCTGTGATATATAAGTTGTTTGCTCGGCCCTGCTGAGGACAGCGTAGCTTCTGACGTGTCCTTGTAAATTTTCGAGGCTAAAGGAGCCATTCATGTTCGGCCGAATCTAGGCCGCGGATTCCTGCGAAAACTTTGGACAAACACAAAAGGCGTTTCAACAACAGGAAACACAACGTACCAATAAAAAAAGCTATGTTTCTTATTCAACCTTGTCATCTACCAAGGCATTCTACATGAACTATAACCAGTATATAGAGTATAATATAATGTTTTCTTCGTGAAATATTTATACGGTGTGCTAAGATTCTTATAAGTCACAGATCCCGACATGACTTTAGATTTTTGTTAAAAAGTATTCATCTTTTGGGAAGTACGAAAGCACAGTGATAGACAGTTATAAGGTTAATGTTCTCACATTGTATAAGATGGAAACAAGTTAGGGACTACAGGAGTTTCCTTTTACACAACAAAGATGACTAAGTGCTTACGTTTCAGTGTCTATCAGAAACGTAAGTACTTAGGTAAATCTGGTTGTGTAAAAGCTGAAAACTCCTGTATCCTATACTTTGATGAAAATATTTTTGTAAGTTAGGGACTGATTTTGTCTGCTTCTTGTTGTTTTTTCAGATTCGTGCGGTGCAACAAGCTGGATGGCGCCAAGAGTGGGCCGCAAGAAACGCTGTCCCTACACCAAGTACCAAATTCTCGAGCTGGAAAAGGAATTCCTCTTCAACATGTACGTCTCGCGAGAACGGCGCCAGGAAATCTCGCGCCACGTGAACCTGAGTGACCGGCAGGTCAAAATCTGGTTCCAGAATCGGCGGATGAAAATGAAGAGGATGAACAAAGCCCGAGAGGAGCAGCTACGGAATCAGCAAGAGCGGGGACATCAGGCAGTCGCGCCGGTCTCAGGGTGAACATGGTCCCGAAGCGGTTGACCTGAGTCCCCCGCTGGCTTCTTCCAGCAGCAGAGAGCAATCAGACATAAACTTGTTGCTGTTTCCAACCGACCAATGAAATCCCTTTGACGTAGTGTCAACGTAGTATAGTAGAAGTCCCCTAAATTTGAACTTTGTACGGTGCCATGGCGTATGTATAATTGTTAAGTGATAAAAACGCAGTTAAATTCCACGGTCCATACTGTTAAACGCCCCAAATAACACATACACTCACTCGGGATACTTAAATGCGAGAATACGCACATAAAAGTTGTAGACGGCTTGGGTTCATTCGACCGTGTGTAGAGCGAGGTGTGTGGATGGCATTTAAACCCTGGCAAGGAGTTCAGAAGGGGCGGTAGAGTTTTCAGTGTTGGGCCTTTGGGAGTCGACAGATCGATTTGTAAGCAACAAATCAAAGAGATTTAACCTCCGGAAAGCGCCTGGATTAACCCAACAAACCTCGCTCTCCGCGCAGTTTGGCCGTAACTTGTCACCACTCCAATGAATTTTATTGGCAAACCCCACGTAATGGATGCCCCCCTCCCCAAGTCAATCCCACAAACCTCTAAACCAAAGGATGTTCATTTATATATGATAGCCATATCTTCATGAAATCAAACCTATTGTATATAAATTAATAGGAAAAAAGGTTCATCACATGTAAATCGGTTCCTACTCACGTTTAGGTAGTTTGTTTTAGCATCATCATAATTAAACAAGCACCATATATATTCATATGACATGTAAATATATTTCCCGTTTCTCAAGAATATTTTATGACCGTTGCTTACATGTTTGTCAACAGCTTTACTACCTTCCCAATGATTTGACTGCTTTTGCCCTTCCTTCATTGGTTACATGTGTTGCGAAAATTTGTTTACGAAAATCGCTCCAAAATAAAACGACAACATGGTCCGTTAACCGAGGGATTTTTACGACATTGAATGCAAACGGAATGGGCTATGTCCTCTTCCAAGCACACTATGTTTTTCTATTTATGGGCAAGCTACTCAGGTCCCTGCCTTTGGTTGAATAATAGTCTGATCACGAGTTCCAAAACCCCTGTAAACTTTACTTCTTAAATTGTAACCGAGATACATGGAGGGCTATTCCCTGAAAGAGCACGTTGAGCCATAAAATGGTTCTCGGCATGTAATTGTGGTAATCCAAAAGACCACACAGTCTTTCGTCTCCATTAGCTAGTCTTAAGGCTAGCCCTCGCTGTGCGGTACTATATCTTACATGCACCAGGGCGTCCTCAAAAGAACAAGAGACAGTACTTTCACAGGGTGTCCTCAAAAGAGACAGTACTTTTCATCAAAGGAAATTGGTAGGCATCATTTGGAAAAGTCAGCCTTATTACTTATAAAAGACGTGGTCTATTACATATTTATATTACATACGCTCAGGTATACGTACTTGCTCATATATGGAAACATCTTTTGCTCATGGTTGTAGTTAGATATAAAATCATTGGTAAAACATTTGTTGGAAAAAGATGGGGTTGGGTGTCAAGGTGTTCTTAATATAAGTATCTGCAAGTACCAAAGAAATTCGGCCAGAGGTACTTTCCACTTCCTTCCTTCCTTTCTTCATTCATTCATCTATTTATTCATTCATTCATCCCTTGTTGACTGATGCCCCAAAATTAGTTAGAAATCAGAACTTCAATCATAAATTAAATCAATACTGTACTTTGCCTATTGTTCATATTAAATGTTTGGAACCTACTACATTGAGCTCTCGGCTATTCTAAGACTAGGGGGTATCAGAGTGTTGCACTTCCGCCAAGTTACATATTTTTCCACTTTCAGTACAGCTTATATGAAAAATTGATAGTTTTTAAGTGCAACAGTATAGCGTAAATTGTATGGCAAGGTAGGGCATAAAATTGGTCATAGTATAATCTTTAGAAGATCTATCTACCAAAAGGCACCGGAATTATGTACAATACTTGTATTTGGATAGTATGTTTGACAACTATCGACAGAAAGCAATGTATATTTAGTACGAAAATATGACAATGCAGGATGTCATTGGTACTCTCTGACTCTTGGAATAGCCGTTTGCATGTTTTGCAAGCATCGTATGGTCCTAAAATGTGCCTGGTTAACTACCAGATATGAGTTTACATGCATAAGTTTTCAATATATCCAGGTACGGTATCCATAGAAATCATTTCAATTGAAAACGTGTCAGAAGAACGTTTGTGACAACTTTAAAAAGTTAAGGTTTACGGTCTCCATGCACTTCACAAAATTTTTTAATCACATCTTAAAGCATAAAGGTAAAGTGTAAAGGTAAAGGTAAGGGAATAAACTGAACCTTTACGTATTGTTTAAGATGTGATTAAGGAATTGACTTTATGTAGTGTCAATGCTAGTTTAACATAGTCATACACCAAGGTTTGGGTTATCCCGCAACAGTTGTCTTTTCTCACTGATGTTCTGACTACTAAAGCATGACAAAACATCCAAATGAAATAAATGGCACAAGGCCATGTACTTATCTATGATATAAATGTACGCCAACGAGCTTCTTCTGGCTTGCTTTCAACAACTGCTGCCAACATGTGCTCAATACAGCCCTGTTTGACAAAATATCTTGTATGTGATATTGGCATCTGGCAGCCCAACATTGAATTTTTCATATGGAAGACAATCGTATATTTATTCTACTGCTAAACGGTCTATATTTGCCACCCTGTTCAAGCCCACTCATGCATACATCCACGATAGTATTTTGATATGATTCACGGGAATAGGTTACTGTCTTAATGACCATGATGAATTTGTACATATATATAAATGATAGGACTGAAGCTTGTCCTTGCTATCCATGGTAATGACATCATGGATCTTGAGATGTACACATAGTAGCATATGATGTTGATATTCTGTAGGTTTTCTAGCTCTGGCAGCAAGTATAGTATAGCGAGGTCTTCTTTTCTACTGTTCGATCAAAATTTAGACTTACTAAACATCAAATTCCTCTAGCACTTACCAATTTTCCATCATTCCCTGTATACATTTTGTCTGTTATGTATTATAGGCGTCGTTGAAAGAATGTTAGAATATTCACTGCAATGTTCATATGGACAAATTCACAAACGTAGTAGTTACGTAGACGCAGCAATGAGGTTTTTACATCTATTTTCTCATTGCGTTTTTGCACAAAATAGGAGTAAGGCAGCAATGCATCTTGGGAGAAAACCGTGCGTCATATCCGGTTGCCCTTTGACCTGATGTTGCCCATGATCCATACAGTCATTCATCACGAGAGTATGTGAGTGCGCGTGCGTAAAGATGCCAATGTGTTTCTCTCTTCTCTCTCTTCTCTTCTCTCTCTCTCTCTCTCTCTCTGTCTGCGTTTGTGTGTGTGTGTGTGTCTGTGTGTGTGTGTGTGTGTGTCTGTGTGTGTGTGTGTGTGTGTGTGTGTGTGTCTGTCTGTCTGTCTGTGTGTGTGTATGTGTGTGTGTGTTTTCCTGCCATACAATTTTATGTACTTACCCTGAATATATTATTTATTCGGGCAAGATAAAGTATTCATATCATCTCTTCATTTGATAAATATTTCGGTTTATATATCCTTATAGAAAAGGCTATCCGCGAATAATTGTGGGATTTAACCATGCATTTATAGTAATAAGCTTACATTAGTGTATCGTGCACTATCTGATTTGCTCATATTCAATACAAAATATTGTAATTGTTTCATAGAGAGTGAACATTTTGATAAGAAATTTGAAAGACCAGCAAAAGAAACAGTGGATATGTATTTTCAAGTGTCAATGTAATGATGTTGTACCTATGCGTGAATTTTTTCTATGTCAGAAATAAAATGGAATAAAACTATTTGACAGATTCAAGCATTGTTAGCTCTGACAAAGTGTGACAATCCTACATGATGGAATGATGTCTTTAGGCACAACCTAAGATCTCAAACGCAAAAGAAAACACGTTTGTTATTAATGGCACCGAGTGGGAGGGGGGCGAAAATCATCCAGGGATTGCACTACTATATTTGTATATTCTGCCCAGAGTACCCTCGGCATCTTACTTATTCTCGAATGTTGGAGCTTGTTGTTCATACTCCTGGTGCCAAACGTTCACGTTTTGTATATGTGACCAGGAAAGGGGATTGTATGGTGTGCTGTAAAATGTAGGATGATCGCTATGGATGTAGTGCTATATAAAAATGGGTAGCTTATTTATATTAACTAGTCTTTGGTATTTTTCCCTTATTTTCTAAATATATTGTAGCTACATGTTGATATCTTGTGATATACAGTTTGTACTGTAATAATTAGTGGTAGATGTAGCATATCAAGTCCTAAACAGGGGTGCTTTGTATTTTAAGCGAATTGTATGAATGTAGAGCCAAATATTTCACTTGGGAATCTCATTTTTAGGTATACTTCCATACGCGAAAATCTGAATTGTAAAAAGGGTTTCATTTCAGAGCATAAAGTATTAAAAAGCGGCTTGGTGTCACCACATGTATGATGTAATGTTATATATTATGGTGCTTATTATACACGCAAGTGAGAGATTATTGTATCTAAGCGGTCGTATTTTGGTCGATCGTGCCATGTATTTTGTCTGTATCGCTGTGTAGGGGTAGATACATGTAGATCTTTGTTTGTTTGTTTGTTTACATCATGTATCGTTCTTTATTAACACTTGTGCGTCTATCTAAGGTAAATAAACAGAGGTTGCTCCACACTTTCTCAGTATAATTGTACAAAGGTTACAAAAAATAGCTGAATTTCATGTCAGAATCTATTATACGGTGTACATGGAGAGTTACTTGTCATGGACCACGATGACATTTGTGATATTAAAAGTTTTCATCTGTATAAAAACTTTCAGCTTTTTGTTGCAGTGATTTTTTTTACATGCGTGAGAAATGAAGAGTAGGGAGAGTATTTGGGGAGAAGAGAAAATAACAAGAAGAAAAAAACCACTCAAACATACTCATATCATAAGAAAGCGAAAAGATGGATTTCCTTTAAACTTCTTGTTATAGTTAATTTATGTTATCTCTTTAAAAATACCAGTGAATTACGTTGGTCAAAATATAAACATGTACTTGGTGGAAAATGCTTTAAGGTAAGGATAGAGGCGAAAGTCTGCCTATGCCTTAACATAGTAAATTTACCCGAAGACTTGGCCTATGAGATGGTTATCGTTGAAAAACAGACTCCGCCTACACTGCTCTTGTCAGGACCATTTAGAAAGGGTCGTTGTTGGTTTCTCACAAAAATGGACGTCGTTGTCACCTAACAACGTGTGTTATTCATTGTACACCTGTAACAGCTTGCAGGTAACGTTTGGAAAGAAGATGGGTACAAAGGAAGACAAGATAGTGCGCGTTAATAGCGAAGACATATAGAAATAACTCGAGAGATCTGCTTAACACTGAAGATATATCATGTCGAAGACTAGTCCAACTTCAACACATATTTCATCTTTTATTTAGACAAATCCTTGATACAACAAACAACGTTGAATTCTTATCATGCACCAACAATGATCAAGAATTTGCAATGTAGAATTCAACAGAAAAGAATACATACCAATGAGAAAAGTCTTCTGTTTAAGATATTTTATGGAGTATAGTACTATCTTTCGAAGTGCTTTAAAAAATGGTAAATGTAAAATAATGTAACACACATTTCTCATGTAAAATATTTTGCTTTCTATACAATGAAATATTAGCAAAAA